TACCTTGCTCTGATGATGTTCGTCATATGAAAGACGAAAGCTTAGCATGTCTTCACGGGAATGTCAAAAACGCTTTGGAGTACAACAAGGCTAGTCCACGTTGTTCCATATGCACTCGTTTAACTTTCACTATTCTTGTAACTTACTCACTTGATATCGGCAAGTGGGGGCGATCAACCCATTTCCTCGCGAAACACATGCACACTCATCTGTCTTCTCAACCAACTAACAAACTATATGAGTTGTTTGACAGCGTTTTCACAACTTGATCCTATAGTCGGGAAGACCGAGAAAAACGCACCTTGTTCGGAGTCCATAGTATGAATCCTAATTTGCAGAGTCGGACAATGCACCTGGTACCATCCCACACGTTTCGCCGGCCTCTTTAATGAGTTTGGCCATTTTTGGTACCAAACTACAATTCATCAATGAGACTAACTTTCTATATCTTTTGACGAGTGGTAATTTGGTGCTAGCAGCGACAGGACTCACTGACGTCTGGAAATATACACCAAGTCTACGCTCCGACTCTGGAACTTACCATACATACTATCGACTCCGAACCAGGTGCTCTCCTCTAGGTCTTCCTGGCAATAGGAGCAAATTGCGTAAACAAGGTCAAACAATTTGTATGAAACGAAAGAAGACCGTGACCATACTATAGGCCACGCCATCTCGCTTTTCGTACCTTCTATATGAGTATACATAAATGAAGCTGGAAAGTATTGGTCATTTGAGTTTGCACATCATCAGGGTCGCAAAGCCATCATTTATGAATAGTTGTCAAAAAACGCTAAACTACGAAAGAGGCTTTGAGTAAATTTTTGTAAACGATGCTTTCTGGCACTGACGATGTCCATGACATGATGACGAGAGATGTATTCACCCTTTTTCGTCTAAGGTGATGAAGGACTGGTGGTGGAATTTTCCCACAATGATATGAGTTGAGCTGACGTTTCTGTTCAATTTCACACAGCCTTGCTTTCCCAAAAGTTGTTCTCATCCTGGGTGGACTGCAGTCCTACCAGACCTTCATCACCTTAGACGAAATAGGGTGAATACATCTCATTACAATAATTTACTGGTAGTCTCGAAACGCTACTCTAAAACGAATATATGATGACGAGAGCCTGGCATAAATTCATCGGAATCGCCACAATTCAGTAGTCACATATTCGAGACAATCCTTCTTTGGTATCGGATGCGGCTAATTTACAAATCCCTTCGATCCGTCTTTCTAAACGAAATACAAGTTGTGCCACCATCATTCTACCAACTTCTCTTCATGTATGAGTATAACACTACCAGTACTCGTCTACACCTTCAATCTTCGTTTTGTGGAAAGCAACTTTACCCATTGGCTCGTCGTTGCTCCATATTTTTATGCTTTCAGCTTGTCATTTATACGTTTCCTCATCCACTCGCTTGCCTGTCTGTCAGTCAGTCAGTCAGTCAGTCTGTCTGTCTATCAATTAAATTTTTGGCAGTAGCAGCTTCAATGCTGTTGGGCTCATTTGCATTTCGAGTAAAAGCGTTTGGTGAAAGTATTCTGAGGTCGACCGAATCAGATGACGACGACCGATTCATGCTGACCAGCTGTTGATTGGATTTGCTGGAACCTTCTTATTAACGCTGTTTCCGAGGCAATCTTCATCGGTTCCGGTGAAAGCGTGACGAGCTTTCGTCCGTTAAAATGATGTACATCATCAAAGCAGGGCAACATTCATACAAACACAAACGGGCTTTATTGTCTCGTTAGCCTGTAGATGATAGTAAGGATACTATACATGCTGTAGGTTAGGTTTTAAGTAATATATGCAAAGAAAAGTTTAGGTTTAGAGGAATCTCGTGTTTCATAATTGTTGAGCTTACTTCCATTTCGAGTGAAAGTGTTAGTCACTTATATGTACATTTAGCTCACTTTATCTCTCTCTCGCATTGAGACCAAAAACAAAAGATAGGCTCAGCAACAAAACCAGACGAGTGTCCGACCTTGCGCAATAGGAGTGATGGTTATAACATGTTTGTGGAAAGGGAGAGATAAAGGTCATCAAACCTTGATGGCCAAAAACAGACATTCCTTTTTGCTGTCCTAATTACTTTGAGCCATCACTTCGCGTTTCGTGCACAAGCGAACACAAACAGGCACGTACACATACAGAGACAGACACACTCACATGCATCGAAATTGACATATGACTGTAACTAACCAAACCACTTTATACTTGATCAATGAAGACAGATGTAGAAGATATATGTAATGAGATGTATTCACCCTATTTCGTGTAAGGTGATGAAGGACTGGTA